TTTCGGCTGATTACATTCGTCTGGGGAGATGATTTGGACAAAAAGGAGAATATCAATTACTTTAAAAAAGAACTAGGAGTTGATGGTTTAATTTATGATAGGTGAGTGTTGCAGTTCCCTGTGCAAGGTTCAACTGGGACTGAATCGGATTTTTTAGGATCGGCGAAGATGAGCGGCGAAGAAATGTATTTATTGTTGAACGTGAACAAAAGCGAGCTCTCTTCAAGATTAGTTCAGGGACTAATACACCTCAGAGGTAAAATTTGTTCAAAAGAGACGAAAAGTTGGAATCGTCTTTTATAGATATTCCCAATGTTAAGTTGTTTGCAGTTGGTGATCTAGAAGTTTTTATGTAAAATGTAAAGATTGAAGACTAATTGAAGATTACTGGTAAGATATAGTCTAATCCGGAATTGTAGTTCTTTTTCTACGTCTTTTCCACATGGACCAAGCCATCTTGTTCCTTTGTAACTACTGAGAAAAAGCTTCTGTTAGGCAACTCCATTACCCGCTGTAGCTGCTAGCTCTCAACTGGGGGAACCCTTTTTTGGTAAATTGCTTTGAAACTATGCTTAGTTACAAGGTTTGGAATCTAATTCAGTTTGGTCTCTCACCATCAAAGTTTGCTATAACATAATAGTGATTAGTATCGAAAAATATACGTTTTAGATACGGGGATGTTTTGTGAAATGTATGGTTTTTGGAAATGAACAAAAGCTTTTCAGAACCATATCTCCTCTGGGGTCAAACAGCTCGCGATCGTCTCTGGATGATGCTTCTTTGATACACGACCATGAACATGAGGCTTTGAAAAATTATAAGGAGATCCCTGAAATCTCCAATGACGTCGCTTTGAATCGCATCGATGTCTCACCCAAAGTGCAGGTCACTCGCTCATAGCTTTTTGCTATTCAATCATAATTCCTATTTATACGCGTCATGTCCATAGCATTTGCCTTTTATAACTCACTAGTGGATTCGCATTCTTCTTCAAACATTTCTGTTTCCCATACTTTCATTCTGGTTGTAGATGCTGATTGTAAGCGTCCTGTTTTAGGGACATATTTCTGTCTAATTAGTTTCATATCTTCCTTGTGACTCAGGATACCTCAAGCGTTCGTCTCGCTTCCTTCATAATATTTTACAGTGTAATTCTTGTCGTGTTAAACACAATCATGCTATCCCACTTAACAGGCGAGACACCGCTTAATTTATTTTTTTATATCCCGTTGAGGATTACTTCGGTGTGTATTGAGGTGTTTTACCCCTTCTACCATAAACTTTAGTGGCTGCTTTTCTACGAAGTTTATCTTCGTGCAGTGCGATTTAGGAGATTTGCAGAGGTTCAGCGTTTGTTGTGTGTTGATGTGATGTATGCCTTTTGCTGTTTACGCGCTGTGCGTGCGCTGCCAGTGCAATAATGGCGAGCCGTGTGCCTAAATTGCGTGTCTTGTGCTTGCTCTCGACCGCATAGCGAGATTAGAGCTGCTCTTCACAAGAGATGAACCGTATCCCGCTGATCGCGACAGGTGTCCAACATCGCGAACACGATTGCGTAAGAACACTGCTGTCACGAAACGCGCACAGCAAGAAAATCTCAAATATACATGCCTTCGTTGTTAGGCCGAAGACAATGGTTGTCAATGGAAGTGCGACAGAGAGAGAAATCTGATGAGATAAGAAAGAAAGACACTCTGAGGTACTCGAAGTACTCGTTTTATTCTGTGAAGATCTTGTGATATGTCTTTCAATTTCACCAAATAAATCAT